CCATCCTAAGCCGCAGTGAAAATGCTTATTATCAGGTGACCTTGATCCTGTCTTTTATGACAAGTTTTTCCTCTGTAATGGTATCAAACTTCCTTCCATTCTCCTTGAGGTTTTCAAAGTTTCTCTGTGTAATTGTGCAATCATCCTCCATATTGTCTCTGGTTCCAAACTTGGTGGTTCTATCAAATTCAGTTGGTGTGGTCCTGCTTTTTGTGCTACCATAATAAAATGAAAAGAGCTACCAAGGCTGGTCAATCCCAAGCAAGGTTCTTGAGGAGCATGAATAGTTGCCGGCTTCTGGTCCAATTCCTTCATAAATGTTGCTGTTGTTTGCCTGCCTCACAGTTCTTAGGATATTTCCTCTGGTATAGATGATGGTTTCTCGTATGCTACCACATCACCTGTGTTATGCAAACCCAAAATGAGAAGAACTACTACATAACTTACGTTGAGCAAGATCAGTTTAATATCACATAGATGGAAGGTTAATTTGACAAAAGTTTCCTTTGGTATCCTATTCTCTCCTCTCTCTCTCTCTCTCTTTCCTCTGTCCTTAAATCTGGTCTAAAACTGACTGTAAAACTGCTGTCAGACCAACGGGCCCGCACTTTCTCGTCACACCCCCGCCGCCCGCTTCCTACTCTTAAGGACAGGTGCCCCATTTGCTTTTCTTCAGGGTTGTGTTCCCGTGCCATAAAGACAGGAAAAGCCCTTCCTTCTCAGCCAGCAGTTCCATGTGCCAGTTCTTGCAGAGCCTGGCAGTGGGGATTAGCTAGCTCCTGACAGGAGGGGTTTATTCACTTCTACATTTTGGCTTTTACCTTGTTATGGTAATAGTGATCCAGCACCTTCATTCCCAGGAAACCGCTTGTATTTTTGCTCAGTTTTTGCACTGTTATCTTTATTTTAGCACAAGATCTTTGTCATCTAAAGAACCAGCTCACTTTTCTCATCTCACTTTGCTCAGCAGACTAAGAATTCTGTGCATACAGGGAAGAATAGAGCCCCTATTCTATATTTAGCGTGCAACCTCAAGCATGTTTTGACTTAAATTCAAGCCTCCTCTTCATTCAAGTTGTTAAGCTCCTCTTCAGCTTAAATGAATTATTTTAAGCTGCATCCTGAGTTTATCAAAGTTTGCTACCTTGAATTTGAGAAAAGCAGCAACACAAACAAAAACCTCCTAGCCGACCAAACAAAACCCTTAGTTGTAAACATGGTTTTTAGAATTTAGAGACGGTGATGTCTCAGTCCACAGCAGGGGCAGACAGGATGCATTTATATGATTAAATGAGAGAAGGAGGGACAGGCTGCCCTGTCTTGAAATTACTGTGTGATACACAACCTTGTTCCCTGGCTGGTTATAAGAAGAATTTGCTAAAGGAACCCCTAGCTCTACTTCATTCAAAATAGGCAAAGCATCTATTTTTATTGTAGGTTCTGCAAGAACTACCTGATCTGCTCTGCACAGCACATTCCTGGAAAAATGTGAAAGACTTCTTAAAGGAGTTCTGTGATGCAAAAGAGGTTGTGTTTTACAGAAAAAGACACATATCAATTAAACAAAACATAGCAAACTAACACCTGAAACTGTGAGACTTCAATGATAGAAGAAAATTTTTTGGTTTGTAAAGCCTAAATAATAGAAGAGAGGGCCTGAGCTTTGCAAGTATTGCTGCTAGGATCAGATCTCATTCCTGGATCGTGCTGTTTTAGTTAGGAACTACTGGGATGATGAGACACGCACCTGAGGAGCAGCGTTAGTGCTTTAAGAGGTTTACCACTTTCTGAAAGTCATATAGCAGCTTACAAGGTTTGTATAGTGTCTGTACAGAGTTGGACAGGTTAGTATAAGAGATCGTGAAAGCTCAGCTGTGAAATGTTTCTGTGAAGTCTTGGTTTGGCTCTAGATATAACATTTTCCATTGACTCGAGGAAGACCAGGGTTTCAGTTAGATACTAATCAGCATTCCTATGTGTGACACCCTTATACACTTGGAGTGTCAAAACAGTTCTAATATGACAGTAATGCAGGGTCTGTGACCTTTTCTCTTTTAATGAGAAAATTCTGTGTGTGAAATAGACTTATACTCAGCTCAGGAAGGACTTCGTCATCTAGCCTAGGAAATTCTAAACGAGATTAATATTTGCAATTTTAAAAGGAGGAAAGGGGATTTCTTTGGGGTAAACGCTGAATTACTTTTTCTATTCAAGCCCCTGTTAAATATTATCTTTCCAGGTCTTGGCTGTAGAGTACAGTTGAACTGAAGAAATTTTCTGCCTGAAGCCAAAACAAACAGAAAATCACTAACAGAAATAGGGTGGGAGCCTTCAAACAGAAGGCGTACTGGTTACTGGTTTCAGAGGTGAAGAAAATACATTTAAAGGTAAGAGAAAATGCAGGAAGATTGCTTGGTACAACTTGAAATAAAAGGACCTCTAAGGTTATTTACAGGTTTTTTGATCTGAGCATTAAGGTGCCCTTTAAGGCTATGTTAGATGATATTTTGTTTGATTTTTATTCTCACATAGTGAAGTATAAACCTTTTTTTTCATAGAAATACAATGAGGATATTTATTAGATCTACTCTGCAGCTCTTGGGAATGAAACAGAAAAATCACTTAGTTAAAAATGTGATTTTCAATTATTATGTGTGCACTGATATTATCATGAGGCTTCTTTCCTAGCATAAGCCTTGCAATTCCAGTAGGATGTGGGCAGTATAAAGACCATTTACATATATGCTCCCCGTTCATTTTTCTATGTCTTTTGGCTTATACTAGAGACCACATCCAAAGCCTACTGAAATCCTACTTCAGCAAATCAGACCATACTTTTCTCCCACGTTAAGTGAAACTATTGCATTTATGTGTTTTAGGAATTACTTTTGCAGCATGCTGCTTATCACCAGATGATACGGTTGCACCGGGAGGTGAAAGCAGGAGGAATCCCCTTTTTCATTGCCTCTTTGCAACCCCTACCCTCAGGTCCCTCTCCTGTTCTGGATTTGAGTATGTGGAGATAAATAGCTACTATATTCTTCTGGGTCCTATCCAGCTCAGATAGGTGCGATTGGACTCCCAAGGGGGATATAACATCCCATTTTTTGTATGGGTCGTGGGTAGGTTACTACATCCATGAAGTGAAGGATGGCACTCCTGAGCAACGTGGCTACATGCTTGTTCTCACCTCGGGCTGGAATTATAGCCATATTCCAGTCCATAGCATAATCTAACCATAAACGCAGCGGCACAGAGTCAGCACTTACTAGGTTTGAAATGCCCATCCATCATAAGTAGTTGTGGGAGAACGGCTCCAGTCTGAACAAGGGCTACACAAGATTAGCTTCTGTTTTAAGATTAGGGAAAGGATTATGATACAAATGAAATCTATTTAAACTTTTGATTTATGTCAAATTACATCAAATCGAAAGACAGATATGGGTCTGTCCATAGCCTCATAGAAAATAATGGATTAATATTTCCTTAGAGTAGTCTAAGAGATTAGGATAAACTGTCCATTGAAGTTGTGTCTAAATCCCCTGAGTGCCTTCCAAAACCTAGCAATGTTCTCTGCTCTCAAGTTATTCAGAAGTTGTTAGGCTGTTCCATTATTTTTTCATTTCCCTAGCTGGTATAAACAGATGCAGTGGAGTTTCACTATTTTTCACCAGCTGAGGTCCTGGTTCCCAAAGTGGTGGAAATGGAGGAGAGTTAAAGGACAATTAAAGCCATAGGTAAGATCTGGATGGAGACATCTGCTTAAATGTGTGTTCTTTAAGCACCTATCCTGATTTTTTGCTTTCTAATGTCTGAACTAAACAAAACAAGTATAAACTATTTTACAGCTGGTTAGCATCTGTTGTCTGGTACAGAAAAGGTTAACAAACCTACCACAGGAATGAAGAAATACCCCAAATGCTTTTGGGCAGCTGCAGTATTAGAAACAGTTTGCTGTAGTTCACTGCAGGTGAACCCTTACAGCTAAGCTATTCGGATGCTAATATTTCCTTTGAGATGTTCACACGTGTTTACTTTTAAAGACGTGTAAAGCCCACTGAAAATACTTACGATGGGTGAGCAAACATTGTACCACTATTAGAAAATAAATTTAAATAAAATAAGACCCTTTGTGCTACATGCTAAATGCACACATCTAATCCTAACTTCATTCACCGGGTACGTAGCTGAGTCCCTCTAGTGGCATAAACATTTATTTGGCTTCAGCATGTTATTAAAATTCTATTTTACAGCCACATTATAGCAGCAAATTCACAGGTAGCTTTTTTGGACGCTCTGGGGACCGTAGCAAAGTGAATATTGGATTAGATACTGTGCAAGCTAGTGTTAATGAATGTAAATTGATTTTTAGCTGTGAGGGGCAATTATAGATGCACTGGAAGGAGAAGGGAATTTTTCAAAGGATATTCAAGAAATAATTACTATCAGTAAGAAACACACAAAGAGCAACGTAATACCCAGGGCAGCCAATAGGGATAAAAGCTTATACACAAATCTGTCATGACCTAGTAGTGAAGACTGTTTAAAAACACTGATCTCCACTTAGCTTGTAAATGCGCATCACCCTCTTTCTCACTCATATATTCTCTCTCTCTCTGACACACACACACAACACGCGCGCGCACGCTCCTGGATTTGCAGAAGACAGACATCTAGGGCACTTCTTGGCATCCACAGGAAAATCTTACGGGATTAAAAAACCACAGCAGTAAGTACTCACTGCATTAAATGTTTATTAAGTGGCATGCTGTCAAAACCTAGATTTAACAGTAAATACAGGAGGACTTTAATGGAAATTGGTTGTATTTGATTTTTCTTAGGAATTGCTGAAAGCTGCCTCTCGAGGATTACAACTTCACCTTTTGCTTTTATGGATGCTTGTTTACTCTCCATGTGGTAACCTCTGGACAGCCAGTAACCCATTCATTATCCACACTGATTGAGCGCGGGAGTAGTGCAGTGGTAACTACTTCACTTAGCTGACGGCAGACGACAAAAGGAGGGAAATGATGAATTCAGACAATTTAACCTCCCAAAGCTTCCTCTCTGTGATTCATAGCAATGCCAGCAATTTATTCTCAGGGCTCCAGTTTGTTCAGACCTTCAAGCCACTCATCATCCCCTGCTACTCGCTAGTGGTTTTTATTGGTGTCATTGGGAATTACCTTCTCATTTATGTTATCTGCAAGACAAAAAAAATGCACAATGTCACCAACTTTCTGGTAGGCAATCTGGCTTTCTCAGACATGCTCATGTGTGCAACCTGTGTACCCCTGACACTCGCGTACGCCTTTGAGCCCAGAGGATGGGTGTACGGGCGTTTCATGTGCTACTTTGTTTTCCTGATGCAACCCGTCACTGTGTTTGTGTCTGTCTTTACCTTGACTGTCATAGCTGTGGATAGGTACTACGCCATGGTGTACCCGTTCCGCAGGAGGCTCACAATCCCTATTTGTGCTTATATCCTGGCTGCTATTTGGCTGCTGAGCTGTACCTTGGCTGCCCCAGCCTTGGTGCACACTTACCACGCAGAGTTCCCGGAACTGGACTTCTCCATCTGCGAGGAGTTTTGGTTCCACATGAAGAGAGATCGCTTAGCTTACGCCTACAGCACGCTCATCATCACCTACGTACTGCCTTTGGCTGTCATCTCCCTGTCCTACCTGAGAATCTCAGTCAAGCTGAAAAACCGTGTGGTCCCAGGCAACGTCACCCAGGGCCAAGCTGAGTGGGACCGAGCAAGGAGGAGAAAGACTTTTCGCTTGCTAGTATTAGTGGTGGCAGCCTTTGGAGTCTGTTGGCTGCCTCTGCACATCTTCAACATGATAAAGGACATAGACATCAGCTTGATTGACAAGCAGTACTTCAATTTTATCCAGCTGCTGTGCCACTGGTTTGCAATGATGTCTGCTTGTACCAATGCCTTCCTCTATGCCTGGCTCCATGACAGCTTCAGGGGGGAGCTGAAGAAAATGTTTGCCTGGAGAAAGAAGAAAATTGGACCCGCTACAAACTGCATTATGGCCAGTGTGGTGCTGTAAACGAGAGCTGGTGGGAGTGCGCTTCCTTCGTACAGTAACACTGTAAGTCTTTTCCACTATTAATTAGTCCTGATTCCTGACACTTGTCCTCAGGGCTCAATTATAACAACACAAGTCCCATGCGTAGCTTCCCCAGCACGTCCACTCCTACTGGAGAAGGAGAGGCAGATGTCAAGTCCCAGAAATGTCTTTGCTTCTTTGACAAGAGTTAGAGGCCAAGGAGATGTTAGCACAATAAGACACCCTTACATAAACTACAGGGATCCCCCGCTATCTGTTTTGGATAATGCTGGCAGTCCAGACATGGGATTTGGGGACAGGGAGAAGCAAGGATGAATATGAGACCTAAACGTCTCAGTGAGGAAATGTTTTGGATTGGGTAAAAATCAAATCTGCATATCTAGCCAGAGTCCAGTCCTTAGCACATTATCCAGGTTGGAGGACTAACAATATTCCTGTAGTCCTCTTGGGTTAGGGCCACGCTGAAGAATAGCCTCAGGCTCTCTGAAACGTCCTTCCAGAGCAGCTGTCTCTGCTGTGGGCAGGAGACCAGGTTGGTAGGAGCTGCTCCGAGCCTCCCTCTGCCAGCTGAGTTGCGCTGGCAGCAGCAGTGTGCAGGGGTCTCCCCACTCCTGAGGGTGCGAGTGGTGCGTGGGGTGACGGCAGCAGCGCACCCGCACTCCCTCCAAGCGCCTCTGTACAAGACAACTGATTCGCTTGTGTGCCTGGGGACCCATGCACGGATGAGGGCTCTGCAGCCCTTGGTGGGGTGTGCTGTGTCTGCCCTGCATGGTTTCCTCCCTCACCGCCATTTTCTCCTTGCGGCTGGCCAGAGTGGACGGAATAGCAGCCTTTGCAGCAGGGCTGCTCCCCTGCCTGCCACGGCCAACCGCATCGGGCAGGGATCTGTGCTTTAGGCTTTTTGAACCCAGCATCATCATGCAATCCCCAACCCCCTGCGTCTCGTGAACCTGCAGCACGGCCTGTAGCAAGGCGAGATGTAGGATTGCGAGAGGGGAAATAAAACCGGAGTGATGTTATTTCTGTGAGGGGCAACTGCGATGCAGGGTGTGCGACAGCCTATTTGGTGGATTTGCTGATGCCGCCGCCAAGGGTGGACAGGCTGGAAACATAATGTGTGGTGGAAACTCATCCAAATAGGGGGATGTTAAGACATACCACCACTTTACTGACATTGAATTGTCTCACGTAACCCCAATTTGCTGATCCTACCGCAAGGCAGCTGCGTTCCCAGCCAGAGGAGTGGACGTCATTGTAGACTTTTTGGTGCCAAGAGGCTTCCTGCTCATTCCTTGAGGAACTTATTTGGACATGTAGCAATGCTGCCATCAGCTTTGCTCTCCAGAGACAGCCAGAGACTTTGATACCATCTTCAGAGGCACTTCTGGAAGTGTCTGTTAAGAGACGGTGGGTGGAAGAGGCAGTTGACATTGAGCCATGTATGAGCATTGCGTGACCAGTCAAAGAAAGACTTGTCAAACAGAACGGAATGGGAAGTGCTCTCTTTTTGAAGGAGTCTTTTGGGAAGCAACAATTTCCTTTGACATTCACCTTTCAATCGGATGAGGGAGTTAGAAGCTATAAACAACCTAATGGTTTCTAGTTTCTTCCTCCCTCTGTCTGAACTGAAAATATCCGAGATAATAGGCAAGCGTAAGGGAAAAAGTTCTGAAAGCAGACATTGTTTCTGAAGAGGATTCTTCCAGCCTGCTCAGCCAGAATCTGGGATGGCATGAGGAACTGACTGATACCGAGCTGAGGTCAGCCGGAGGAGCAGCGCAATGCGGGGCAGTTTTGGCCATGGTCAGCAAGGGCATCTATCCAACCGCAACTGCACATGGCCAGAAACGTCTGGACTGCGAGGCAACGCAGATGGACGAGGGGGGAGAGGGAAGAAAGAGAGGATGGTTTCTCTAGTTTGTAAATGTACTCCTACTGTGAAACTGTGAATATCATTTTGCTCATCAGCATTCAGTAAGCTAATCTGGTTAAAACTACACAGGTGCATACGCACACACTGGGAAAAGCGTTGGAAAAACATTTGAAATCCCTTCTCACAAATTTCCTTAGAATTTCAAGCTGTTCTGTTGCTAATAATGAGGAACTGGATATTGGAAGCTGATTACAGAGACATTGAATCAAGGAAAGTCCTTTTAAAGTGGCTATTACTTACATTCACTCTGTGATGAAGTGTATCTGCCTTGCTTATCTTGATTTAAAGATTTGAATGACTTATTAAAGGATGTTTTGCTTTTGCTGAATTTTAGTAAATTGTTTTTCCTTCAAGCTCAGTATAGCAAGTTACTGGAATAGCTGATGATTTTGAAAAGGCAAAAAAAACCTTCCACACAAACAAACCAAATTTTATAGGCTTTTCTGTTTCAGGGCTCTTTTGAAGAAAACAGAGAGTAGGACACTGAGAGAGCACTGGAACAACACTGCAAAAAACAGCCTTAAATAACAATAAAATCTGGATTTTTAGAGATTTTTCTTCTATGGAATTATGTTACTTCAAGCTGTTAATTTGTCAGTTTGTAAAGGCTAATTAGCATTGAGATGGCCCATACTGTTTACCACCTTGTGCACTAAACACAGACACTTGTGCACTAAATACACAGTGATCCAAAGCCCAGTGGAGTAACTGGGAAGCCTCTCGTTAACACAGCAGGCCTGGGATCATTTCCTTCTTACACATCATGTTTTTACCCTCATTTGCCAACACTGCAGTTTGGCTCATTAATGTTCTCTTGAATGTTAGTGACTGCAGATGGCTGCTGCAGAGAGCTGCATGAAGCAAACAAGAGGGACTTCTCTATTTTTTTTTCTTTTTTTCCCCTGAGACGGAAATGAACGGCTGTTCAGTGCATATATTTTTCCCAGTGACGGATGCACTGGGAACATCTCGCTACCAGCAGCCCCTGGAGCTGCAGTTACAGCAGTGCCGAGGTCTGTCATCTCAAGGAGTTCCTCAGGAGTGCCCAGCATGGCAGGCACCCTTATTTAAGTGCTGGTTTAACCTGTACATGCCCTGAATCTTTCAGGACTTGCGTTTGCAGCAGAAAGCTCAGAGCCTGCCCCTTGCTTCAGGCCCTTCTCAGGACTACGTTTTGCAGATGCACCTTGAAATGATCTGCGTTCCCCAGCCGTGGGCTCCTGAAGCTCCTTCTCTCTCCTCAGCAGCCCCCTTGCCCACCTCAGTGGTCCTGCAAGGCCATTTTTCCAGGCTTTTCCTGCTCGGTGCACAACGGAGGTCCGGCTCCGGGCAGGAGGGCTGGGGGTCCCGCAGGCTGGTGGGGACCGAGGCACAGCCACATTCGCTCAACCCCACCTCTCAATCGAGTCCCAAGAATCTCTGCTCGATGTAATTACTGTTTTCTCTGTTTTCCAGAGTAATAAACAATAATAAGATTTAGAGGCACGTTGGTGCGCTTCTTTAATCCAGTTATGCAAATAATTATATTAAAAGCCGTCATGTGAAATGTTTTTGCTAATCTCCACCCCTCTCTGGGGAACTGCTGTGGTTCTCTGAGGAACCAGGGCTCACCACTACAGTATTTTTGGTGGTATAATTTTTAATTACAATTTAAGAAATCATTGCATGCTTTGATTTTATAAAGTAGCCTGGTTCAAAACTTGGTGAACCTATTAACTTTCTCTGTAAGGGTTTTAGTTGTTGTTTCTTGCTTACATTCGAATCCAAGGACTCGCCCACTGCAGGTTTGCGTCTGAGCTGAGGTATGGCAGAGTTCTATATGCTCCTCATCTGCTGGGATTTCATTCCAGTTGTTTACATCTACCGAGAGACTTTTAACAGGTAGAGACCTAGGTGTTCTGCATTTTACAGCAGCAAATACATGCTATTTATGATGGCTCCTCGGACTGTTCCTAAAGGACAGTCTCCGGTAAACACTCCTAGATCTACTATGGAGTTTGTACACGTGCTCTGCGGTGGTGTTTTCAGGCAGATCTCAGCTGCATTAGCCAGCAAGTGGGTTATCAGAGCATGGTGAGCCTTGGGCTTTGGAAATGGAGGGCCCACTTAGGACCACACTTACTCATTGTAAAAATCATCTGGGAGGTTTCACTGGGGCCAAGCCTCTACAGCTCAGAAGGCTCTGCATATCTTAAATGTGGAGATTAATAGAGATACAGAAGGAGACGATGGGGAGAGGCAGGGGAGGGCGAGATAGCTTCACTTTAAGTGAAGAGCAAGATAGCAAGAATCACAGCTTCACGATTTGAAGCTACGCTGCATAGCATAGGGACTCACAGAGTTCTAGCAAATACACCGTATTTCCAACGTTTATAGATGCAAAAATGCTTGATCAAACATAAGCTACTCCCTATGGTCAAACGCGGGATTGGTATTAAAAGGCAATGTACTTATGAAACATGAAAAAGTAAATTGGTATTTGATCAGGAATTAAAAAACAGATTAGCTAGTGAACAAAGGTCACTAAATCTGAAATCAGGCAGCCAAAGCAAAACAATAGTTAATCAAACCTCAGTTAGGGTCAGGTAGAGTTGTTCTCTCCCCCACCTTGAAAATGGCAGCTCAGAGCAGTCACCGAAGACCAACTTATTTGTGCAATGCATTGCTATAAATTTTCCTTATGCTTGGACAAAGAAAACTGTGAGAGCTATATTTGTATCATATTTGGGGAATGGCAGTTTATCTGGGATGGGCAAAAGCAGATCCCACCATAAGGCCATTACTCACAGGAGCATGGCAAGTGCTTCCCAGCTGATAGATAGACTGGGAAAAGCTGGTATTTTTCATGCCAGCTGAACAACAGATGCTCTGTGCAGTTTTAATTGAATGAATCTTGTTTGTTGAGGTGTCAATAGTGAGTTATAATTAGATGGCTAAGATTATGCAGGGTACAGATATAAGCTGAAAATGGTACACCTGCAGCTGGGAAAAAAAATGCCTAATTGGACAGAACTGTACAATGCATGCATCAATCTGCCCACCAGACGAGAAGAGGGCAGAGAGAGA